CAAAACATCTCAAGGAACAAGCTCAATACAATGGCACCTTGCTGGGAAAGTTATCCACCAAAGGGAGCACTACGTGAGCACACAGATGTGTTCTGTCTTCCTGGGACCCTTGTCAAACTCTGTTGACACATGCAAATTAGAAAAACACTTGTAATTGATATTATCCTCTAACATTTCACCCTTAAAAGAAAGTGACAAAATACTATCATTCTTTTCATTTTCTGATTTTCAATTCATAAATAGATCATAGAGAATTCTTTGCTTATCCACTGCTGTAGCCAATGATATCTCTGAAATTTTTCAAATCCCAATTCAATAAGCTTATCTGCTTCCTCCTTTAGGCCTTGTTCTACAGTGAAGAATTTTAGGATGGGGAGGTTCCTCCAGCTCTTTACTGTTCAGGGTAGGTTGGCACATTTGGTCAGCAGCTCCCTTCTTCATTTTCCATTCTGGAAATCATTGAAGTCTGCTTCTATAAGAAGTGCAGAACCTCCAGTATTTCTGAACTCCAGATTCACATCTATCTTATACAGCAGGAACTGACTTTGAATGATTACAAGAAACACACACTTTGCAACCAGTCACTGTCAAATGTAAGGCTCTAGGTCTGTATACAGATTGAACTCGTGTTTAAACCACCTTCTGCTGTCTTCTACACTTCCAGAAAGTTCCAGTTCTACATGCATTTTCAGCATTTTACTTACTGTTTTATAAGGTAATCAGCAATAGCTTTACTTGAAGAATGTGCAACAAATTTGCTGTTCTCTGTCTCATTCCAGCTTGCTGAGGATAGTAGCAATGTTACACATAGACTATCAGTTTGAAGCTCAGGTTTAGAGATCTCAGGTTCATACTCCCTGACTGATGTCATTGCTCGTATGTTGAGCTCAGAATTGGCTTGAATCTGGAATTGCAAACCAAGGCAAGGACTTGCTTCTTGCTTCTGCAGACAGTTTAGATTGGATGAGCTTAAGCCAAATGAAATTGCAAGCAGCCCACATTCTGGCACAGTTTAATTAAGAAACTAAAGATGTAAAGATCCAACCCAAGCTCTGTCTGAGAAACTCTGGCCTTTTAGGCATAGTTCCCAGTAACAAACTGTGCAGACCAGAGTACAGGAACATGTGGATTTAAAGACATCTGCTAAGTTCTTACTGTTCTTAGCAGGAGAGCCTGTTTTCATAGGTGCAAGATGCCATAAATCAGAATGATGTCACTGAATTATTGTATTGAATACGCCATTAGTTCAAGGTTAGATATGCACAAAGGAAGCTGACTGTAAAATATGGACAACAGAATCCAGTTCAATTGAATCAGGCCTATAAAAAATCCTACCATAAATCTTAGTTCATCTAAGGTTTTTTAAAATTTTATTCACTAATTCATTGCTTAATATCTGAAAATTTTTCAACCTGTCCCAGTATGGTGAAACCATAATCATACGTGTGTGTGTATACATACACATATATATTTGCATATGTGTGCATATATATACACATATATATGTGAAAACCACACAAAGAAAGTTCAACTGCTAAATTGGACTTACCTCTCTAAGATGAATCTAAGTTTGAAAACAGTGTGGGTTTTTTTTTTCCCTAGCTTCCTGAAAAAGCTTTCAACTTCACTTGTCAGGAAACACTGATTTATATACTTTTATATTACCCTATCTCTCTACCCAGATAATTCTGTAAGATGGGAGCAGCAAGATTCATCAAGAGATGACCCAGCCCACCCCTCTGCCTAAAGGTAGGATTAGTAATGTTTCTCTCATTTTTCATAGGCTGTTACCTAACCTGCACTTTAAGACTGCTAGCAATACTGGCTGAACAAACTTCCTTAGCCAATTTTTCATAATCCCTCCCTACTGATTGAAATTTTCTTCCCTAGTATCTAACCTGAGTGCAGGACCATGAGTTATCCTATAGACGTGGACATCACAGCATTCCCTTCTCATTGTAAAACCCTTTTATTATCTGGTATCACAGTCCTTCACAAAATATTACAGATGACATTAAATAACTTCCAGTCTTTCCTCAGGTTTTCTAGAACTCTCTCATCGCTTTCCCTTCCAGATGGTCTTCAGCTGATACATACTTTTTGAAATGAAACACAACTAAATGCAAGTATAGAAGCTCATGAAGAACTAAACAATCTTTAATCCTCTGCTAACAGTGGCAGTGTGGCATTCTTCTGTTACATGCTGAGTTTATGGTTATGTAGCTACACAATTTGTATTTTACATCAGGACTAAATTGTGCATAAATCTTACAGGTAAGTAAATATGTGATTTTTAGCAGGACTTTGAATCATATAGAACTCTAGATTTAGATTAAGTGAGAATATCACAGTGACATTATCTACCAAGCAAGCATAAACTGAAATTAAGATTATAGGTCAATTTTATTATCTTATTTAGTTGTGCTGATTCTAATGAGCACAATCCTAATTTTGTGTTTACTTTTTTTCTAAGTATATAACACATGCAATAATAATTCATGAGTCATTTAATGTCTATAGCTATGTACTGTAGCAAAGTGGGAAGCTCATCTACTTAGTTTAAAAACTCTGTGAATACTGAATTTATATGAAAGTAAAAAAAAAAGAGAATAAAGTATATTCTGGAAATAATTTATCTGTAGTCATTATGAGCCAACTATTCAACTCCTCTACTAAACTTTCACAATAGAAAAATGCTGATACTAATGACTTATTCTCTTCTGGAAACCCTTTCCCTGCTTATTCAACACCAAATGCTGGAACAGTTAGATATAGTCAGTACAGTCTCCTCTGAGATTACAGAAAAAACCTTATCTGTTTAAAGATGGCAGAGATTAGTGGATATATAAATTCTACCTTGTAAAACCTTCCCTGCCCAAAAAAAGATGCTAGAAAAAATATAATGTGGCGTTGTCTTTAATATAGTAAATAAAAGTAGGTGGGAGGCACAAAGCTGTTCCAATTGCAAAGAGAGGAGACATGGTATGTAGCCAGCAACAATTAATCCATATAATAACTGATAAGCCATGGATAAAAGAGGAAGTCAAACAGAATCCAAGAAAAGAATTATGAAATTCATTGCAGCCCTCTCCTGTTTGTTACAAAGACATGGCTTGCTGACCGTGGTGGGAGATAAATGAGAACACAATCTCTTTTTGTCTGTGGCTCTAAACCAAAAAGGCTAAAGGTCTTATACAGAGGAACGTGAATTTACCTTGGCTCTATTTTCACAGTTCCCAGATGAGAAACACTAATGACGTTAGGGAGCCAGTAGTGTTCCTTTAGTAGTCTCTATATTAAGTATTTGACATATATTGAAAATTAAAGTGATGATTACTTCCCAATTAAGAAAACACATTGATTCTTTAAAAATATGAGCAAAATTAAAGATGAATTTAAGAAAATTATGTATGGCACAAAAAAACATATTAACACTGCCTACATCATTATTTATAGAGAAAAAAGTTTGTTTTGGCTGAGGTGACTATCCTTCTACTGCAGAAGGAAAAAAAAATTGTTTAGAAGTTCAAGCTGTAAAGTTATTAAACAAGATCTGACTGCACTAAGAAATGCACAACATATTAGAAAAGTCAATTTCTTAAATTAAATGGCAAATCAGCAAGTGGATGAAGGACTGACCTTGGATCGAGGTGGTGCTCGGATGTACCATTTACAGTCTACTGCTTCAGTTTCAGAAGCTTTTCCTTCTTTGACAATTTGTACAGATTCCACAATTCCTTCAGGTCCTCCCATCTCAAACTCACAAACTGAATAACAAAATACCAGAAAAAATGAAACCTGAACAGCAAACAAAAATATTTTCTACAGCAGAGTGTAAAGGCCTCCAAGTTAAAAAAAAAACAACATACCAACCTGGCAATGGTTTCAAAACACCAAGGTCCTTAAAATCTGGATCTTAAAAATTGAGAAAGAGAAAATTAATTTTGTTCAATATATTGGCTATAATACCAATGTGCTAAAATTTGACAATGCACTTCAGTGATACGGTTAGACATATATTTCTTGGAAATGAGAAACGTTTCAAAAATATGGCAATACGCTAATTATTAATGCACAAATTATTGATACTATCATATCAAGTTTGAGGGGTTTTTATTATGAAATTCTTTTCTCTGTCTTTCAGAAAAGTGAGTTCAAAAATATTTCTGCATACACTAGCAAGCAAGAACATCATACAACTAACCAGATGATATTTTAATACATCAGTCCAATGAAAGAGGATATATTTACAAATCTATTCAGAATCCTTTTGCTTATTTTGCATTTTGCAGTATGATTATAACACTCAACTTAACTAGAGAAGTCTAAACTTCACTCTATATTTATAAATACTCTACCATCCCTACTGACAAAGAGGAGACATTTTCTTTATCAGAAGCATCCATTTGGTCTTCCTGGAATAAGTATCTTAAGGATTTACTATGGAATTCATTATGCTAACAAGGTAATAAGTTTAATACATATGCTATTTTTGATCAGAAAAATATGATTATATTATACATTATATAATATATTATGTCTGAGATATTTTGCATCATTCTTTTATAGTCAGGTATAACACATAGATGTAGTGAGTTTGGTCTTAGACCTTCGCTTCAATAAACAGCTATCCATAGATACATCATAATTTAAGAAAATTTGTCTCAGTTTGAAGATATTATTCAAACCCAGAAGTGTAAAAGTGGCTAAAGTATTTCAAGAGTAGATCTCTTCAGAATAGACAGGTCTTCTTTGGGAGATTTTTATCACTTGCATTACTTTCCTACCTAAAATGAATGTTCAGCACTGTTTTACTCATTTTCAGGAGTGAAAAAAAAAAAAAAAGAAAAAAGAAAGAAATCCACTGGCCTTTATTATTTTTCTGGAAAGTTAAGAGAATCTGGTCTTCTGAAAACAATTGCAAACACTTATATAGAAACACTCTGCATTAAGCTTATCCTGAGCCACATGCATAGTGTTAAGGCCTCAAAAGGATTGCACAAGAGGAAAACCAAGGTGGAGTTTGACCCATGTATTCTACTCATGGAACTGATCTTATTATTTCAATATTGGATTAGTGCAGAAAAAGCCATAAATAAAACAAGGAACAGAAAGTTTAGAAGTAAGAAATGTATCAAATAAAAAAAAAAAAAGAAAACAACCCACCACCAAAACTGTTGTTCCCCTCTAGCCTTAGTCGAGCCAGGACAGTAAGGATCATAACCAAATAATATCCTGGAAAAGTGTAGAGCTTTATAAGCAAGATCAACCATTTCAACCTGAACAGTGAGAATGTGTTGACTTCAAAAATTAAAGTAGTAAAATCACTTTTTAAACTGTCCCTCTCTAACTAGTCTGCTGTTTTTCTTCCCAGTTACGTTTTACAGTTGCACAGTATAAATCGTGAGTAAATACTCATGAACTTAAGGGACTACAAATATAACTGAGTAGGCAACTAACATTAATTGTTATGCAGTTTTATAGATCAGTATATAGATATGATAACCAACAACACTAAATGTAATCGTATATTTCAGTTAATGTACTCAGATGTTGATATCTACTGCTGAAAGCAAGACACTTAAAGCAAACCTACTTTGACTACTGGTTCAAACTAACATCCAAACCATGTCTAGTGTAGCCATTATATTTGTCCCCTTTGGTGAGTTTACAAGGATCGCTCTGATCTGAAAACATTCTACCACATGAGCAAAGCACGGAGGAGGAAAGAAGGAGAAACAGGTCCAGACAGGATTTCTCCCGTATGAAGGAGTTTTCATATAAAGGAGTGCTAGTATCAAAAATCAAGGCTGAAGTGTAATCTAGACCATGTAATCTGATCTAAAAAAATTCTCATTGTTCTCATTTGTTAACAATACAGTTAGAACAAAACCACATAGAAGTGCACAATCCGTTAAAATTCGAGAAATATGGTTGAATCATAGAATCATAGAACGGTTTGAGTTGAAAGGGACCTTAAAGATCATCGAGCTCTAACCCCCTGCCATTGGTAGGGACACCTTCCACTAGATCAGGTTGCTCAAAGCCTCATCCAACCTGGCCTTGAACACTTCCAGGAATGGAGCATCCACAGCTTGTCTGGGCAACCTGCTCCAGTGCCTCACCACCTTCAGAGTCAAGAATGTCTTCCTTACAGCTAATTGAAATCTACGCTTTTTTCTCTTCCAGTATAAAGTCATTACCCTTTGTTCTAGCACTACATGCCCTTGTAAAAAGTCCCTCTCCAGCTTTCTTGAAGGCCCCTTTTACATACTGGAAGACTGCTTTACAGTCTTCCCAGAGCCTTCTCTAGGCAGAACAACCCCAGCTCTTTCAGCCTCTCTTCATAGGAGAGGTGCTCCAGCCCTCAGAGCATAGAATCATAGACCATAGAATGGTTAGGGTTGGAAGGGACCTTAAAGATCATCTAGTTCCAAACTCCCTGCCATGGGCAGAGAAATCCTCCACTACACCAGATTGCCCAAAGCCTCATCTAACCTGGCCTTGAACACTTCCAGGGATGGGGCATCCACAACTTCTCTGGGCAACCTGTTCCACTGT